AACTTGATACTATTCTAATAATAGTTTATAAATCAATTAAAAAAAGAAAGAGAAAGAAAATCAGAAAAAGAGATTGTATAAGAAGATTTTTATAAAAAAATCAGAGTAGAAGAAATATTAAAAATTATACTCTGAAAAAACACAGAGTAAAAGAATTATTAGAGTATTAAAATATACACAATTGTGAAGTGAAATTATAAAAAGATATAAAAGAACTTTATAAGTATATATAAATGTGTGAGTATATAGTAGAGAGTTGATTGTATAAATTAACTATCAATAAATACTAATTCATTACATTATCTTTCTTTACTGAGATGAGTGAGAATTTATAGATATTGAATACAGCAGTATTCTTTATAGCAGATACAGATTTTCAGATTGAATAATTATATTCTATTTATTTAATAAAATATTTATAGTAATAATAATTGATTCTGTTATCAAGAATTATTTCAATTTCTTATTCAAATTTATTGTCTTTTTCTATAATAACAGATGATTGTCAGTTGAAAGTTTTTTATAAAAGAAATAGATTTTTAGCTGTGAATTGAAGTAGATTTATATGAAAAATATTATAAATATCAAGCAGAGTATTCAGTTGATAGTTATGAATGTTTAATATTTCTACTACTATATATTTAATATAATAATAATTCAATATATATAAAGAATAGTCTATTTTTATATTTCTAAAATCTAGTCAAATCTTATCTTCTATATTATATCAGATCACAGAATTTCTTTTAATATTTATTTAATTTTTATAATTTTATTAAATATTAATTATCAAAGCTTCAGTTTATTTACAGACTTTTTTAAATTTGCTGATTATATTCTCTATCATTTATATAGAACTGTAGATATATATAGTCTTTTGAAAAATCTCAGAGAAGTTCAGAATTTCTAAATTATAACTATATAGAAGAAAAAATAGACTTATATCTATTATAGCAGAATTTTGATTATTTATAATAATTTCAGTATATAACAGCAGATTATTTCAGTTATTTTATATATAATTATAAAATTTTTAGAGAATATTTTTAACTATCTGTATTATTCTTTCAATAACTTCATTAATCTCTGAGTAATATACTATCAATAACTTTTACTCAATTCTCAGTAGCTGATATATATAGATTCAAAATATACTTACAAACTGACTATCTCTATCTGATACAATGAATAAAAATAGATTATATATACAATAGAATAAGCTTTTGATAAAGATATCTACAATAATCTCAGTATTTATCTTATTATAGAGCTGCA